TACCATCATCCTCCATTGCTTTTGGTATGGGTGTATTGCTGGGTGAACACAGTAGCAGCATTGCTGAGGCAAATTATCAGGGATTATCAGCATGGTCCTTTGTATAATGGACCTGTTTTGACGTCTAAATGAAGTAAACTCTGTTCTTTTTCACTGCATTTTCAGTGAGAAATGTCTCCCACTCCAGCTCAGGTCTGTTATGTGGCCCCAGACCTGAGCTGTTGTTTTCACTCTAGGTCTTTTTTACTTGGGTCTTATCTTTTCCTGTCCATTTTGCCTTTCCATCCACAACGAAACTGTGGATGGAACATACATCAAAATTCATCAAAACAAATGAAATCTGTGGAAATGGCTTAAAGATCATGGGACAGACACCCAGTGTGCATGACCAGCATGATGTTTTTATGGTTTATTGTAGATGGTGAAACGTTCGTGAATTGCACTGAAAAGCTAGAGTGGCCAAAAACAATATATAAAAACAGCATTTTCAAATTATTGTGTGCGAGTGTGAACTAGGCTGGGGCAATGGGTGGCCATTTCAGTGACAAGAGTGAATAAGCAAAATATTGTTTATGCCAAATACACGACAAATTTCATGCCCATGCTCCCATAATACAGTCTTAAGAATATCACACATACACATTATCCTCATTGTGTTAGTTGTTTTTTTTTTATTATTGACTTTTAGCTGCAAAGCTCAGAGGAGTCCTTACAAACCCCCCAGTCCCATGTAACCTAAAGTCAACAACTAGGATTTGAAAAACATTTGACCTGTGGGATGAAGTCAACATGCAGGGATGCAAATATTTTAGGTCTCTGGGTACATGCCCGAGTGGTGATAATGAACACCATCAGCTCAGATGTATTCACTTTGCGGGTTTTGTGATACTGTAGCACGTTCACTGACTTAGTCGTCAACATACTTAGTCTTATCAGCTCGGTCTAGGTAAGAAAACATAGTCATAGTAATTTCATTATTTCATTTCCTCGTTATATTTCATTAAAAATAGTTCTTTATTATTATTTTTCAGGCCTTGTAGTTACAATGGGGGGAAAGGCATCTCTGAATAATTCAAATTTAACACGTTTTATGACAATTCTGACCATGGAATCATTGGACATACCACCATCCAGTGTTTTTTCTGCATTTATCTTTAGCACCCTCACATACTGTTTAATTCTGCTCTTCAACTCCGTATTACTTGCGACTATTGTTGTACAAAGGGATCTGCATAAGCCTATGTACGTATTGCTGTTTAATTTGTCCATATGTGACCTTATGGGAGCTACAGCTTTTTACCCTCAGTTGATTTGTAGTATATTGTCTCAGAGTAGAGAAATCTCCTACCCTGCCTGTGCCTTGCAAGGCATCCTTCTTCACATCTATGGAGGAGGATCACTTTTATTTCTTAGTGTTATGGCTTATGACAGATACATTGCCATTTGCAAGCCTTTGAGATACAATAATCTGATGACACCAGGTACATTGGTCAAGCTTATTTTTATGGTCTGGTTTGTAAATTTGGCTTTGGTTGGGATTTCATTTACACTCACAATAAGCACAGAAATATGCAGGACAAATATAGTGGACACGTACTGCAATAATCCTTCTTTAATGAAGTTAATCTGTGAGGATACGAGAGTGATGAACTACTATGGCTACTTTACTGTAATTCTTGCACAAAGCTTTTCTATAGTGATAGTATCATCAACATATATCAAAATCCTATTTACATGTCTTTCTACTAAACAGGCAAAATCTACAAGTAAGGCAATGCAAACCTGTGGGACACATTTAGTTGTTTTTCTGAGTTTTGAAATTAACTCACTCTTCCTAATGACATCTCACAGGGTAGAAGCAGTATCTCCACACTTAAGAAGGGCCTTTGGTATTTCAATTGTTATCTTTCCTCCAATTCTTAACCCTCTAATTTATGGGTTGAAAACAAGGGAAATTCGACAAACAGTGTTTAAGTTCATACAAAGAAAGGTTTCTTCTTTCTAAAAGGAAAATAACTAAACTCACATACATAAGCTTCTGCATTTTACTACATAAATTATGATAAAAAATTTACTAGGCTTTTCCACCACATGAAAGTAAAGTAAGCATCGGAAATTATGCACTGACATACCAATGGAATATATGCATATTGATTTTTAACTTCAATCTACTCCTGTTATTAAAAAAATAACAATTAAATAATGACTAACTTGTATACTGTACGTTTCAGCAGATAAATGGAAAGCATAACAGGAAAGACTGCCAAAATTAAGTACTGACTAGAAGACCTAAATTTAAACTATAAAGTTCAATCACCTAAATAATTCTCTGTGCTGTTATGAATATCAGTATTAACACACAGTATGATTATGGAAACATTATATTTAGAGTGTCACAAATTAATGTAGAATTCATGCTGATGTCACACAAAAAGCAATTAATCGATCTTAAAGTACAAATCTCCTTTGTTTGATGTTGAGTATCGATAGCTTACGCTTTTTTGGTTTTTCTTTTTCATTTTTTCCCCCTCACTTGTATATGTCATTCAACATTACCACTTGATTCATGTGACCACTTGATTCAAAGTACAAATGTGATACATGTGACAAGTAAACAATAACCCAATTTAAGCTGTTATTGTCATTGGAAAGATTAAGACAGTTAACCATTGACAGAATTAAAGGACGAGACACCTGTAATTAATTTAATATGTTGCATACTGGTACTATTTAATAGCACTTCAATAATAGAAATAGTACTGTCATAATAGAAATGCTATTTATTGTTATTTATTATTATGACTGTACACTGAAATTGACATGTACATTTGATTTAATCATTTGTAAGAGACTTTT